CTCCCAGAATTCCCCAGCCAGCATGCTGACTGGGGAATTCTGGGAGTTGAAGTCCACACATTTTAAAGTTGCGGAGGACGAGAAACACTGCTCTAGGCAATCCATCTGACACAGCACTATTCATGCTGATTGACAGTGGTTCTGTGGAGGTTCAGCTGTGGACATTTTCAACTCTCCCACCAAATGCCAAAGACTGAAGCTGGCATTTCTTTTTGCAAAGCAACACTATGCCTTTCCCGCCAGTGGGGGCTGGAAATCCTGGGACTTATATCCCTCCAAAGGACACCAGGTTGAGTTTAGTCCTCCAAAGGTCACCAAGCCTCTGCAACAAGCCCGCGCGGCTCTTCTTCTCGACAATCTTATGATTGTCTTAAGCTTACGAACCACCCCTCCCAGCACCTCTCCAAACACTACTGTAGTGCGAGTTGGTAGCAACCTCTGGGGACCCCCAGGGACCCCACGCCTGGTTCAGTGACTCAGTAAACCTGGGGGGGGGGGGCAACCGACAACGCTCAAGGAAAGGAGGGCAGCAGCCTCCCCATTTCTCCCCGAGCCCAAGAGCACTTCCAGGGCCCGTGCCAAAGGGAAACCCACCGCCATCTTGCAAGGCAATGCCAGGGACTCCCTCCTCGGCGTTGAGAGGGCGGAGGGGGGCTATGGCAAGCACGCCTCCCCCGAGCGGACGCGGACGCTGCCTCGCAGCAGGGTCGTGTGTCTTCTCCTCCCCGCGACGAAGGGCAGGCGCGTTCCGGCTCGTGGCGCGCCCTCCGGAACTTTAGCGCCGGGGCTGGCGGGGGAAGCCCGGAAGGGTTGAGCGTGCCGGACCGCGGAGGTGGAGAGAGGCAGTTGCTAGGGAGCCTTAGCAACGGCGCGAGAAGGTCCGTTGGGCAGCCGCCGCCGACGGGATTCGGGCTTGCGAGAGCGAGAGGCGGCCCTGGTTGGAAATGGGCGAGCGGAGGCGTACCCAGGCCCTCTCCGCCTGCAGTCACTCCGCTTCCAAGGTCGGCGGCTTAATTCGAGGCTTCCCTTCGACTCCGCAGGGAGGGACGGGCAACACGTGGCTCCTGTTGGACAGCAGACTGGCGCCGTGCTGGGGCTCGTGGAAGGAGGCTGGAGGGATACCAGGGCCGAGGCTGCAAAGGGCGATTCCTCAGCCCCTGGGCTACAAAGCTTGGGCCATAATTAGTTTCGCTTCTGTTGTTTTCAGAGGGTGCACCTTGAAGGGGCTTCAAAGCTCTTTGTTCGCGGTTAGGTAGAAATACGTGTCTTCCCTCGTGGTGCTGAAGCCACGTTGCCCTGCTTGGCCCGGGTACTGAACTAGCTTGTTTTCTGGGTCTGCACGTTACACGGAACCACAGGCTGTCCAAAGCAGGGGTCTCCAAACTGTTCAATTCATTGACGCCTTCGTGAAGTTCCAGATTATATATCGACCCTCAACCATTTATTATATGAAAATAATTTAATAAATGCTACTTTAATGAATAGTACCGTGAATAATAACAACCACCACCTCGACCCCTTGGGTGCTCCTGTCGACCCTTGGGGGTCAATATTGACCACTTTGGAGAAACCTGGTCCAAAGAAACCAGTTTGCATTGCACGCCAAGACATGCCCATGGACCCAAACGTAAAACTAACCAAGCTTAATTTGTGGTGCAGATGCAGCTCCTAGATTTTTACCTGAATTGATGAAGCATGTTGTGTAAACGCAACCACAGAGTGAGATATCTCACCATTTGGTATGGAATGCATGTGCTTGTTTATGTGTGTGTGGTTTTATTTATTTATTTTTTTTGCTCTGCCAGACATACCTGAAGGGGGAAAAGTTTTTTCTGTTTAGAAACAAGTTGTTTGTTTATAAGATGAATCAAAGAGTTAAAAAAAATCTTCAGTGTAAGTAAAATAATAGCATATCCCTCAAATTAATTCAACCACCTGGCTGATTCTAGTAGTGCTAAGGATGATGATGGTAGAGGAGGAAGGTCTCATGGATCAAATCTTTAAGAGATGAGAATGACAAGTTTTTAAAATACTTTGCTGACTTTTTTTTCCTGTTTCAGAAATAACAAAGAAATGTCCTGTGTTCACATATTTATCTTAGCCATGGTATGCTGAGTATGTCTGGGCAAAATGTCATTATGTGCTTATATTATGCCAAGTGTTATGCTCAATTATACTTCGGTCTTTGATGGCAATACATGAACATAACCACATCAAAATTTATGAAAATGTCAAAGGCAATGTTTTGATCTTTGGTCTCCATTTCTGAAATTGACGGCAGCATATAATATTTCAATAAAAATAACTGGATTTCCCCCAAATAAGTCAGGAAAAAAACTGTAATATACTGTCAACATTTTGGATGATTGTGTACCTAAGATTTGAGATACAGAGGCCTGGTTTACATATAATACTAAGCCAGAATTCTTTAAACTATGGTTTGTTGAATAACCGTAATGGCCTAGTAGTTCATATTGGTGAGGTATACTCAGTAGAAGTTTTACTGTGAGAATAAAACAGGGCAAACCAAGTACAGTGGTACCTCTAGTTACGAACACCCCTCCTTACGAATTTTTC